GGGTGGCCACATCTGTGGCTCCCAACCAGAAACTGCTTGCAGAGCATCGTGTTGTGCTCCCTAATTGGGAGCATTTTCGCCTCATCTGGTGACATTAGGAGGCAACCGGTCGCTGTCCTAAGTGCTGTGTTTTGTACTGTCTGTAGCTTCATCCACTGCGTCCTTCTAGTCCCCGGCGACCACACTGGTGCTGCGTAGTTTAAAACCGGCCGGCCTATTGCCTTGTCCAGCAACGTTTCTTTGTCTTTGCCCCAAATACTGCCGGCTAGTGACTTGGCTCTGTACTTTATTGACAATAGCGGTTGCGTGCGCAGAGAAGGAGAGCAGGCTATCGAATGTTACTCCGAGTATTTTGGGATTATTCACCGTCGGAATTGGTGTGTCGTCGACGTGAATTGCCAGCGGTAGCCTGACCTCCTTCGCCCAGGTTGTGAACAGGGTCGCAGAGGATTACGTAGGGGAGAGGGCTAGACACTTTGCGGTGAAGAAGGGAGAAAGTTTTGAGAGATACCGGTTTACTTTCGAACACAGGTCATCAATTCCATTCCCAGTCGCCATGATCGAGCAATCGTCGGTGTAAGAGACAATCGAGACTCCCTCTGGTGGTTGAGGGAGCTTTGAAATGTAAAAGTTAAACTGTAGCGGGGAAAGGGCACCACCCTGTGGAACCCCCTGTTTTATTTTTCTAAGTTTGCTCGATTTGTCTCTAAACATTACCGACGAAAGTCGACCACTCAGATAATTTGCCGACCACCGTTTGAGCCTCTGTGGGAGAGAGGAAGCCTCTATATCTTCTAGTAGCGTTAAGTGCTGTTGTTGTACTGTGCACTTTACGGAAGCCATGCTGATGCTTCGCTGGGGTCAGGTGGTTCGCGAAATACGGGAGCAGCAGGACCTCAAGTGTCTTCGCTACCGGGGAAAGGAGTTATCGGTCGATACGAATCTCCTTTGTTGGCGGGTTTCCCCGGTTTGAGCAGTGGGACCACTCTCCCCACCTTCCAGATGTCTGGGATGATGAGAGTGGCCATAGACAAATTGAGGATCTCCGTTAGGTACGCTACTCCCGCAGGACCCAAATTTTTCAGCATCAGCATGCATATTCCGTCGGGACCCATGGCTTTGGAGGCTTTCGCCTTCCCGATGGCCACCTGAACTTCACCGCAGGTGAAAGCAAGGGGGGCACAATTTGCTGGCAGTTTGTGCAGCCTTCTGGTCACTCGACGCTTGGTTTTGTCCATCGGGGATGCAGTATGAACGGCCGGCTAAAGTAGCTCGCGCATCGCTCCGGGTCCGACGAGGCATGGTCGCCGAAAGAAATTTCGGCTCTGGCGTCGTGCTTCGTCGGATTTGATAGTGATCTCACGGTTGACCATAGCTTAATCATACCAGAGGTGAAGATACAGGTCTTCAGATGTTCTTCCCACTTCTTCCGCTTATGTACGATCATTAGTTGCCGAATCTCCGCGTTGAGATCCCTGATACGGGGATCTCCAGGATCGGCCTGACGAAGGCTGTCACGCTCATCGGCTAGAACAGCCGCTTCGTGGGTCCGTAATGCATCCTGCCGGTACGAAGCGAGCTGCAGCAGCGGTGACAGCCCTGCGGCGTGGCCGCTGAATGAAATTTTGACTCTGGCGTCGCGCTTCGTCGGTTTGGATAGTGATCCCACGGTTGACTAATGCTTACTCACACCAGAGGTGAAGTTGCAAGTCTTCAGATGCTCTTCCCACTTCTTCCGCTTATGTACGATCATTAGTTGCCGAATCTCCGCGTTGAGATCCCTAATGCGGGGATTTCCGGGATCGGACCGACGAAGATGTTCACGCACATCGGCTAGGTGCTTTCAGTAACTTCCGCGAAGCCGTTCCGATCAGCTTTGAAAAGTTGATATACATAGGTTAGCTGTTCCGCGGAAACAATGTCGGCTGATCTGATGCTAAGGTCAGCATAGGTCGCCACGTTATGCTGTTTATCAGACCAGCGCCTACAATTGTTACTCCTGGCGATCTGCAGCAGCTGCCCATAATCGTGGTGGGTGCGTTGTCGTTCATTGTGCAGAAAGTCGAATCGTCTGTCTTCTCAACCAAGTGTGTTCCCCTACGAATATCCGGCCTCTTTTCACTTAACTTAAAGAAACTGACTGTATATTGGGAATTCAGTTGTGTGTGCTTTGTCGATACAAAAGATCTTCAAGGTCGTAGTATCCCTAGTTCTGCTGCATCCATTTTTAACTGAACGTCTTAAATTAAAAATTAAACCAAATTGCTATCGGCCCTTAATTCAATGTCTTCCATGTCCGAATTTATAATTTTTATTTGTTTATGTAACATTTTTCAACACAATCATTAATTCTATTTTCGAAAATTGTAGCCATAAATCAGTAGATCTGTTTGATTTATCAACTCATCATCGGTGCAATTGAATTCTGTTGAACGTATACATAAATTTCCATTCAATGATTTTTATAATAGCACAGACAAGACAACAAAATAAACGGCGTAAGTAGCTAAGCATTGAATGCAATTACAATTTCATAGCCACACTTTTGAAATTGACTGCAGTTTGCCTTGGCATAAAAACCTCCTTTTCAATGCACAAACTTATTTATTTTTATTTTTTTACTTGGAATTTTCAACATCATGCACAACGCTCGTATGTAACAGCATGCAACAAATTGCAAATGCTTTAGAAAGAAAACATCTAAAAAAGAAACAACAAAAAATATGCAAACAAAAACCCAAACCGCTTTGTTATCTGTTCTCTTTTTTGTATTTATTGTTCTTCTGCATATTCTATTACGAATAGAAAAAAAAACAAGATAAACCAAATTGTGTAATAGTGGCTTTGTAAAGTTATTCCAATAGCTGGGGTGTGTTGTCAAGCGGCAGTTGTATGCGGAAACATGTTAACGATGTATTAAGTGCATACATGTTTGTACGTACTAGGATCTCCTAAATTACAAATCCAAATGTGGAGGTGAATGGGCGGTCGAGTTAGCAATATTTCATAACCAACAAGAACCGCTTTAACTAGTCTTGAATTAAGCTCTGATTAACAAATGTTTTCCGGGGCTACATGAGCGTATGCAATTCCGTTAGCCGCCATCACTTAGTGGAGCGATTGTTGCTTATAGCAGCAGAGTTTTTAGGGAATCAGCTGATTTGACAGTACTTGGCCAGATGTAGATCTGACTGTCATGGGAACATATAGCAGCTCGCAGCAACCTCGATTGAATCTCGTTAACTGGTACTTTACTCATCCTCCGACTCAGGAAGCTTAAGGCCCAGAAAGCTGGCGAGGTTGCTCTTGTTGTTGTTGTAGCGGGCGCTGTCGGCAGGTGCAGTTCATAGTGCCTCCGCTGACAGGGTCATGAGGTTAGAATCGCATACGAAGAGCTGTTGGGGGTTATGAGGACATAGCCGGCATGCTGGACAGGCGTTTTCCACTTCTCAGTTCACTCGAGAGAGGTACATAGCTATTGAGTTTGTGCTAGGCATACGCTGAAATTCAGATTCCTCAATGCGAATGGGGCGGCTGTCGATCCCCTGGAACAAAGTTGTTCTTGTTGTTGTAACAGTATACAAATTCCCCAGAGTTCTGGGGAATTGCTGTTGGAGTGAAAGTCCTTGGCCAGATATGTATAAATTTGGGTCGTTCCGTTTACGTAGACCCGACTGTCATTGTCTTTGCCGAAGGCTCATTCTATAGCCATTTCTGTGGGTGGTGTGAGGTGCAATCTCATTTCTCGGCAATTTCGTAATACAGCGATGTATTGCATTGAATAGCAATGTTTTGTACAATTTCACCGCCGGAGACAAACTTTCATCGTGTTGTGCTGCTGTTCTAACAGCATAGAATTGCCCAACGAGCTTTTGGGGAATCAGCCGAAGTGACATTGGCCTGGCCAGTTATAGATCTGGATCGTTCCGGTTACATAGACCGGTCTGTCGTGGGAAAGGGAGCTTTACCCGTCGAGGTGGTGCTTGGGCGGCATGTGATTGCAGCCTTTAACCATATAGCCGCGGTCTGAGATATCTGAATTGAATGTATCTATTTGCTGCTGAGGACCCTACTGGCGCTGCAAAATTTTCCACTGACCAAACGTTTGATTTGCACGTTCCTAACAGGGTATCGCTGTCGCCATTGATGTCTTTCAAGATCTATGCATTGTCGGGTAGTGGTGATTTTGCTTCGTCCAGGAGTTCTAGCTCTATATTCTTGATTATTGTGCAATGTATAGCCGTGGACTTTGCGCTAGAAATGTTAAAGTTTTTGACAGGGAAGGAATTAGAATTATCGATGTCGTAGTTAATTTTTTCCTCTTATTATTATTTGACGCCAGTCGTTTCTCTTCAGTGCCAGAAACATCGCGGTCTACATAGTTAGTTATTTCCCCTGTTTTCAATTTGACGCAGCTTGAAATTAACAATTCGGAATTCAACTGACGATTGACGTCCACGAAGATAGTTGCTTATTTACCTTCGCCCGACATGGAAGCGACTAATACCGTCCCATCACAAGTATGGTGATAGCGTCCATTTATTTGGTGAGACTGAGTTTTTTTTGCGGAATAGTTGCTGATTTCCGGCTAGTTTGAGATGCTTAATCACGCTGAGATGATGGCATCTAATGCGCAGGTGTGATGTGATATTTCCAGCACTGTGGATCGAAAGCTTGGACGATTTGGTCTTCCCGGGTCGTGGAAGCAATTTGTAGCCTGGTCTGCACTTTTTTCCTCACTAAATATTATAACCGCATAGTCGTTGTATTTCGACGGGTGGGATAGTATGTGGGCTCCAAAATTGAGATAGTAAAATATTGCACAAAATCTGGTAAAACAGATTAGAATACAATCGCTAGTATGAAGTCTAGCAAATGGAGCGGCAGTTTCGTATAATAGTTAATAGTATTGGCCGGGCTATATAATTCTATTATCTAATGAGTTATGTCAATGAACTTCTATAATATGTACATATTACATTATAATTCATATCGTCTGACAGCAGCATTGTACTAGATACGTCTGAAACATATTTGCATTTAATTGGCAGCGAATGCTATAGTAAATAATAGACTTTGAGCCTTTATGTTTGGATATATTAATGCGGGCCAATGCTAAATACCTTGTGCTACTTGTCGACAGACCAGTGCAAATGCAATGTACTATATATTGCAAAAGCCTATACATGTTTGCATGCCTTAGGTATAAATTTTTGTAATTGACGTCACATTTACGATGACTGTCCAGATACCTATAATTATAATAACAACAAAAGAGAAATGAGGTCATGAGTTTAGGGAATACTAGTAGATACAGTGCATGGTATTTACATAGTACTTATGTAAGTAGGTCATGCGATAAGGAGGCCCATTCCTCTAAAAGAGACAACTATGTAGAATACTAAGAAAAACTATACAATTAGCAAATCAAATTAGAATTTGCCTTTAATTGACTGATAGCTTGACTTCCGTTATATAGAGCATTTTACTGTCTTCTCTATGTAGGTTAGTAGGTATGTATATATAGATGTGTTTAGTTAACTACTTATGTAGGTGACCTGTTGCACTTTTTGCATTTACAACAATAAATATTCTGCATCTTTGTAATTTACTGCCTATTCGCCATTTGCCTAGACTATGACGTCACGGTGAAAATTTGCCCACGTAAATGTAGTTGTATTTTAAGAATCGTCACTTGGAAACATGTGTATGCCCATACGTACAAGTCGACGTAAGCGAAGTGAAGTGCGTCATTGACTTTTGAGTGGGATGTCGCTAAAAGGAGGGTGTTGTGCAAAGTTCCGACAAGCAAATGTTTTCAGTTCGATATTTCCTAATTGCTGTAAGGATTTAATAACAATTTTAAATGTGAATAAATAAATGTGCATACATATATATTTACCAAGTGATAGCAGCTACATATGTACATAGGATAGTAGTATTCGCGAGAGCGAAACCTTTTGATAATAAACATTAAAATAGTAATAAAAACCAGTCGGTAGAACAATAATATCTTGTACCCACATATGTAGGTGTCTAGAATGGCAGGCAAGTAACAATGTCAAAAGTAACAGCCGATTTCTCAGTGGATGTTTAATTATAATCAGAAGATGATCTCTTCTCGTCAGTTTCTCAGTGTACTTACATGCGTGACGACGCATGCGAGAAACCGCACCTGTAGACCGCAAAAAGTACGAAGCATGCTTTTTCTCGCATACCGAGCAGTATGCGAGCTCTGGCTTGCTTTCAACTGTCATTTTTGTTGTTTGACAGCTATGTTCTCATTTCGCAGAATTCAACATCGTTTATTTTGGAGGCAAATACAAATTTAGAGGCAGCCATTTTTCATTTGAGAATAGTATACATCTCTTTATGCAGATTGTCTAATTTTCTCAAACTTTTAAGTGCCTGCAAGGCTTGAACCTTCTTGTTTGGCGACATTTTACAAATGAAAAAGTATGCTGTCAAATGCCCAGTCAACAAAACTGTATCTCGCTTGCGAGAGAAAAAAGCAGAACGCAAGCGAGATTTTCAAGCATGTGAAGACGGCCGGTAAGCGAGAGACAAAAGAACGCTCAACTTGGATAAAATTTTCTTTTAGCTACTTAAGCAACCCTGTTGATAGCTGATAAGAAACATTTGATTAGTTAAACGGGACTTAGATACAAAAACCAATTTAAATGAGTAATTATGCGAGGTATTAGCGTAATATATGTACATATATACTTATGTAAAATATAAGTCACGTATATAAGGACACAAAAATTACCCTCTCCACTTTCCCATTAACAATTCACAATAGAGCAGTTTTTTTACTTACCAACAAGTCGCATATTTTTTAACCGAACTGGCGGAGCTCGGATAAATAGCCGAGTTTGTGTTGTGGCTTTGCGTGTATTTCGTCATTTAAACGAGTGTTCTTTTGTAGCTCAGTTGCAAAAGAATGCACCTATTATGTATGGAGTATAGTAATTTTAAATAGATGGCAACCCTACTCAAATAGTTGGCAACCCTTTTGTACATGCGAAGGCCATGCACATACATTTGGTATCGCCTCATGTAAACACCGTATTATATGCCAATATCGCATGCGATACTCGTGCGTCCAATTTTTGCATTAAATACAAAATATAGCAGCGAACACAAATGGCATGCGATTTGCTTGCAAGTGGGAGTGAGCAACTTGCACAATACACACATTTCCACGCTGATGATACTGCGGAAAGAGCGAGCAGGCAATATTTCATACAGCGAACGCCACCCAAATTTCTCTAAAATTGAAATATTTTGCTAATCTGAAACATTAAATATGTATATGTACATAATTTTAGAATTCAAAAGGCCGTGATTTTATACACACCACCACTATTATTTAATGTTTTATTTAATTAATTTTAATATCTAATGAGGAGATTAGCATTTACTTACCACAATAGCCATACACATTTGCGTCCGTCTAACCAGAATGGACGTTTAATTTATGAAAATTTGATGTCGAAGACGCACCAAATATTATTTTATTTTATTTTAAGGTCAATACAATTGTTATAAACGTACAATTTTGCACGCTACACTTGTTTAATTACAAACACTTGCTTGACTTAAATTGTACTGTATGTAATATATGCATTAGCAATGATTTGCTTCACACTGGTTTTCAACTCGGCTTTTTTTGTAAAAATGAGTTCAAATTTCAACACAGTTCATAAAAACGCTTTCTTTCATGAACAAAATGCCTTTATTAGTCACTGCAAAAATTTGCTATCGCTGAGACACTGCGCTCGACTATACGGGTGTATAACCTCAATTTTCAGGACCGCAGTGATGCAGAAAATTGAGCAAAAATTAAAATACCGTAGTAACAAATGACTTGCCGTATATAAATTCTGGTCAAAACGCAGGACAACACTTTGAAACGCTTGAAAATTTCACTCTAAATATTTAAAATCAAACACTGGTTTTGATTACTGTTTGATAACCACGGATTTAGAAACGCGTTCCAACAAACTCTTGCGAATTTTCCCAAAGTACTAAATTTTCTTAATTTAACATGGAAGGAATAGCCCGTTTCTCAATTTGTGTGTAGAAAGAACCCACTCGTTTGTACTCGTGAATGCGCATTGGTTTACTCACTCGCTCTACCCGAAAGCTGGTTAGGGGTGATAATTTTTATAGAAACACAGCCACGCAGCTGATTTTTGACGAACCCAATTATTGGATGCGGTGAACGTACCCGTTGGGTTGATTTTTGACAGCTCCTTTTATTGGATGCATTGAACGTACCCGGTGGGTGTGCTGGGTGGTATTGCCAACTACAGCTTATAATCAAAATATATTAAATAAAGGCTGACTTCCGAAACGTCGATTACTTTGTATTCGTACAAAGTATAATGTTCCATAATGCCGCACTACAAAATATTGACAATGTATACTGTTCCAAAACGCATCCGAAAAGTTATTGAAACGTATCGCAGAGTAATGAGCGCATAGCTAATAGAGTTGATGCTTCGTTTGTTTTTGGTTCCGATTCTTGTTGTGAAAATGGAAAATACAGAAAAATTTATTTTTCATTGTTACATTGAATATTTAAAATATGCAATTTATATGTTGCAATGTTTCGCGACTCTGCATACACAAACAGTTTGAATACCGCAGTACAAAAGTATCCAAACATTGTATTGATACGTTTTGGAAGTCAGCCAAATTAATATGTTTGCTGTACATATATTTAATAACTTTTGATATTAAAATTTGAGTGTGAAATAATGCAATATTCCTCATTATATGCTAATATGTGATTGAAAGAAAAACACAGTTGTGGAGGCAAGATTTCTCTTGAGCTCATGGAACATAGCTTATGCTAAGATCATCTGTAGAAGGAAACACATCTGATATATTGAACACGCTTCCATTTATTCTATTTACTTTTGTTGTCTGCTGGATTAACGGTATAGTTTGTGATTTCACATAAAATATTTTGTTTATTTATCTGTTTTAGATTAATAAAATGTTGGCAGCAGTAAAACATTTACTTGCACAAAAACGTATAGTATTGGCAAGCAGCTCACCACGTCGCCAAGAACTTATCAAATCAATAGTGAGTAGATTGGAGTTTAGTTTCCTAAATAATATGAACTCAACTATAATATATTTTACTAAACAGGGAGTCGACATTGAATTATGTCCATCTAATTTCGAAGAAAACTTGGATTACCGCGACTTCAAGGAGTTCTCACAATTTGTCGAGGCTACAGCGGCTGGCAAAGCTGAGGAGGTATATCAACGTCTACATGCCGCAGATCCGACAGCCGATTTATTGGTTATTGGCGCTGACACAATGGTCACGTTGGGCAGTGACGTTTATGGGAAACCAAAAGATGCAACCGATGCGGTGCGCATGTTGACCAAGTAAGTAAGGAAAGGGTAATCCAGAATTTCATTGGCAAAAGCGGTTCTAGTAGTAATTCGTTTATAAAGTTAGATAGGTTTGTGGTTTCTACACTGCCATATATGCATTTATCCAATTTAAATATAGTACATTGGCTCATGGAACACGTGTAATAAAACACTATTTAAATTAATTAAAGATAAACGTACATATCTGAAATGCCGTGGTGACACCGTGCAACATGGATAATATTCCTTTTTTTTATTCCAGTCTCTCTGGCAAATGCAATCGTACACATACAGGGATTGTGATCAGACACGATAAAGGTATACGCCAGTTCACTGAGACCACTGATGTATATTTCGGTGATTTGAGCAATGCGCAAATACAAGATTATGTAAAAAGCGGAGAGCCACTGTAAGTTTATTGCATTATGAAGTATTTGAAAAAACAATAATTTCGTTCAAACAATTTCAGCGACAAAGCAGGCGCCTATGGTATACAAGGAATTGGTGGTTCTTTAATTTCCAAAATTAATGGCGACTACTATTGTGTAATGGGTTTACCACTACATCGCTTGTGCAAGGAGTTGTGCGCTTTGTTGGAGGACCCAAATTCGCCTGAGAATGGATGTCCTGCAGAAAAGAAAACCAGAATTGAATAAAATGTTAGTTATTGATCTAAGCAACAGCATTTAAAGAACCAAAGCAATTAAGAGGCTTTTAGTTATTCTTATATAAATACTTATATTAGGTTCTGATATGCCAAATTTAAGCAATCAAATGTGAAAAGACAAACCCGCAGCAGATTTTTAGACAGACAATACACTACTTAAATCAAATAGACCTATTAGCATGATAAGCATGATCGATGAATATGATTTAATAGAATTGAGGTGGTTTTAAAGAATTTTTACTTTTAATAAGCTATTATCTAGAATTATTTTTCTGAGTTGATGGTTATTTGAATTCTTATTTTTATTTCCTTCAAGTTATTTTAAGTACGTATAGTTTTTGAAACTACAAAACCAAGCCGTTGCAAAACGACCACTATGTGTTGTAGCCATATATGTAATACCCCTATATTGGTAGTAAGCATTCCGAAATCAAGCGGATGGTACTAGCTCATACTGCCAATATAGGAGTATTACATATGTATATGGTTGGAGCAATCAGCGCAGCTCCCGAAAAAATTTATAATTTTTAGCGTGTTTTGACAACCTTTGAAATAAAAATAATTTTTATTTAGATAATACTTTTAGATGTTTTAGTATGCCTGTGAAAATATTAATTAGATTACTCCAAATACATGCAGTATCACATAACAAGTATTTAAGTTGAAGCTTTGATTTGCAGCTTCCAGCCATCGAGCAGCTTTATCATTAAAATTTGTAGGTATGTATATTGTTACATCTTTATTTCTTTATAGGGTTTGCTTAAACTATACAAATTAAAGCTCTTCAGTTTCGAATTTCTTCAAAACGCTGGTTGTGAAAATCACTTTGATGTTGTAGTTCAGTGCTGCTCAAAATTTTTATATTGAAAGTGAAATCACAATACAAGGCGAATTAATATATCATGTAAATTTTTGTTTTTGTACTCTTGCTATCACCTTATATTAATTCGCCTTGTCACAATACATCTACAAAATTTATGTGTACACTGAGATTTTTTTTTTGTAATTTAAATTAAGCTAAAAAGTGCAAGTTTATTTTTATTGTGCGATCAGTGAATGAAAATTGTTAGCAATGGGAGTCTTTACATACATATTTGTGAAAAATACAGTTAAGAAATGATAGCGACCTAGTGGATGAAAAGTCCCAAAATTTAGTGGGAGGCATCCTTGCACATATTCACAACATATTGCAATCTCTAATTTTACATTTTCATTCGTATCATTGGGATACTACTCGCATATAAAAGACCCATTTTAAAGCGTTAATAAATGATAGCACCATTGAAACAATATGCAATAAAATTTAAGGTGGGCACCTTAAATCATCAATCCTTAAATCAATCCTGTCCCCCGGAGATAAGAGTTTCTCAAACATTAATTTATAATTTTATTGGCACATTTGTTGGCATTTTACGTTAAAATCGCGAAATAAATTTTTCTACAATCCAACGTTGGAAGAATATCTGCAATCCTATCAATTTTACGCGGTGTGTTGCTCCCAGGGATATGCATTGAATTCAGATTGGAAATCAATCATTTTCTATATCCCCTTTGAAAATTTCCAAAATATTTTGATGGCAAGTTGCAAAATGACGTTGCAAGTAATATTTCGTCATTCGTTTAATAATTACAAAGCACAACATACACTAGGTACGCTTTGCACTCAAAATTCCAAAAAAAAGATCTCGCGCTTCCACACTTTAATAAACGCCATGTGTTTTTTTACATTAGAACGCTTTTATCAACTTGCAATGTTGTGTGTCCAGAAACTTTCAATGTTGTGGATCCAGAAACTTTCAATGTTGTGTGTCCGACACCATAAAACCTTTGCTTTGAAAAGTCCCTATAAAAAAGCATAGTGCATAGGGCGACATCTGTAGTGAATAGGGCGAGGTAGATGACATCTAGATGTCGCCCTATGTACTACGTTTGCTACAGCGGAAATAGACGACACGCCATTTCTTTAAATAAAATTAATTGGTGCTCGTTTGTATGTACATACATATGTAAATGCATGTGTGTGCACCTTTCTATTAATATCGTTGAATTATTTTAATATCTATTGCAAAATTTTATTCAGACAGGACTAAAAAGTAGAAAATAAATAATATAAAAAAAACTTTTTAATATACAACGCTTTTATAAATGGACTAAAAAGTAGAAAATAATATTTCTCAGTCCCATAGAAGTTGTTTTGATAACTTTTGATTTTGAAATTTTAGCAAAAGTCATTATAAACAATCTATGAAATTGAAAATGAAAAGCGTGGGGCGCATGTAATACACTTGAATTGATATGAAAAGTAATATATGAATGTATGTATGTGGGTATATGAATAAAATCGATTTCAAAGTTCTACTTTCGCTGTAGAAATTTTAGGTCTACGTTATGTAGTTTGACTATTGTCAATTAAATCGAATGCTTTGTATTGCATGCGCTCCACGTTTTTCATTTTCAATTTCATAGATTGTTTATAATGACTTTTGCTAAAATTTCAAAATCAAAAGTTATCAAAACAAATTCTATGGGACTGAGAAATATTATTTTCTACTTTTTAGTCCATTTATAAAAGCGTTGTATATTAAAAAGTTTTTTTTATATTATTTATTTTTCAATAATTTTCGTTTTCATTTTCAGTAAATACGAATATTATATCAATTTATAATATAAATGTTTTTTGTATATGTGCCTATACTTCAGGGCAAAACAAAAACAAATGTGCTACAAGTGCTTATGGAGTGAGCAGCACTGTTGTAGTTATTTTGAAATGCTAATTAGTTAAAATTAGTTAGAGCATTTCTATATTAGGGTGATGACGTTCCCACTACAACCAGCTCTAAATAACGGGAATCATTTCCCAAAAACTTTGGGGACTTTTATCCTGTTACAACAACAACTACTTTTAGAAGACACTTAAAATAGTACCAACCGCCCTCACAATAGTTGTTCTTACATTCAGGGGTTGGCTTGAACTCATGTTGGGCCAAAATTGTAAATGCATTAGCGTCCCTTTAAAAAATTTATAGGAATTCGTGCTGACATAGTTAAATCTGTTGAAATAACACCAATTATGTTTGGAAGCATTTGGTAGCATAACAGCTGTCTGTCGGATCTTTAGATTTTTTAAATATGCTCCATAAATAAACAAAGAGTTTTTGGTTATTAGATCGGTTTTGATGAAAATATCTATTTTTTATTGGTTAAAACACCTAAGTTTCTTTAACTAAATAAGATCTTTTAGCAGACGAAATTGAGAGCCAAATTGAATGGTCGTTGTTGTGATAGCATCTTATCGCCAGGAACTTGTGTTGCGATCCCAACAGCGGCAAGCACAACAGGAGCCCGGCCGGTAAAATTACTTATTTCGCACCTCTCGAATCGCGAGCAGCCTTTAAAGGCAAATGACTGAAAGACTAAGCCCACCGTCAACGAACTAATTGGGCCTTATCAGTGTGGCTTCAGTCCAGGTAAATCCACCGAATATCAGGTATTCGCCCGACGCCAAATCTTCGAAAATACTAGTGAGAAAAGGAGCGACACCTACCATCTATTTGTCGACAAAGCCCCTTTCGACAGAAGTTGCCTATGCGGCGCGATGACAGAATTTGGTATCCCCGTGAAACAGATACTGCTGTGTAAAATGACGTTGAGCAATACCACCAACTGCATCAGAATTGGGAGAGACTTATCCGAGCGACTTATAGAACGACTTCCTTTTATCTGATTTCTTGAATCCGATGTAGGAGAAGATAATAAGAGCCGCAGAACGGAACCGCTCAAGAACAATTTACTACAAGAGCGTGCAATTTCTGACGTATGCCGATGACATCGACAAGATCGGTAACAAAAACTGCGAAGTCTGCTTTCTCTTTCCAAATTAGATAAGGAAGTAAAGCGAATAGGTCTGGTGGTAAACGAGGACAAGGCGAAGTATCTCCTGTCAACAAACAAACAGTCAGCACATTCACGCTTTGGCACCCACGTGAAGCCTTACCGGCTTTAGGAATAAACACAATAGAGACAGTTCTCCACGCTATCGGTATTTAATTTCGTTTTACACAGGCCATGAAGATGTTCACTAGCCAACTTAGAAAGGTTTCAAGCGTCGCAGCCAATTGCGCGGGAATAATCCCATCGGCCCCGCCGCTTTAAAAGTCTGAAAGTTTTGTATCGCCGAAGCAATCCTCTCCATTGTGACCGGCAAATTTACTACCCCGCCCGAAGGAAGGTGTAAAGAGCTCTGTTTGCGAAATCCCTGGAAAATGTGTGTCCAAGAGCAGTTCCACCGTTTTCATTCCCGGGTTCGGGGATTGCGACAGTATTTTTCTTAATCTGTCAGTATCGGAAGTAAACTCGACGCCGCTACAGAAATCCCTCCAGGAAAACCTTTTAATTTCCCTTAAATCCTTCTTGTACTCGCGCAAAAACTGCTCATATTTTTGCCAATCAGATTCGTGACTCAGCCTACTTGCCTTGTTGGAGTGTATGCTGCAGGTTTTGCGTAGTGAGTCCAACTCCCGAGACCGCCAGTGGGGTGTGCGCTAGCCCCTGGGTCTAGAGTCAGGACAAGCCTTAGCCAAAGCCTCTAAGTCAGTCCGAGTAAAAAAGTTAACCATATCCCCCAACTCACCAGTGGTAGTGGGCTCACTACATATTTAGGTGCTGGATATGGTAACTTACCCGTATTTCTTAGGTACTCTTAGGTATGTAGCCGATACAACAACAACAACAACAAAATACTGCTGTGGATGCCATGTCTGTCTGTATGTATATATGTAGACATGAAACATTTTTTTTTCTTACAAGTTACAAGCTTTGTATTGTTGAGCGATTTTCTGTCACCCATTGTCAAATTTGGTTTGGAGACGAACTGGTTTCGGGATTGTGCCATCTTCGGTGTCATTTTTCGTTTCGTACAAGCTTTTGTTTAACTTGCTCTGTATGTGTGCATGTTTTTTTTTGGTCAAATGTAGTAATACATTTTTGACAAACTTCCCGATAACCTAGCTCAGAACCCAATGACAATGCAATATGAAAGATTTATTAATTCGCTAAGTGGCGCAGTAGTCGAGATGTGTAAAAATACTAGTTTGTATAGTCTCTTTTGGCTCATAGTGTTAGCTACATGGAAGGAAATAACTCCACAAAAAAATGTGCCGTTAGGTGGCACAGGAGTCGAGATATTTGGGAAATCGTACGATTAAATTCATATCTAGAAAGCTCGTTTAAAAAATAATTTTAACTATTAACTTACTAAAAATAAACCCTTTGTCAAACTTGAAAAACGCCACTTTGAACAGTAAAAAATTATTAATAAGAAAGTTTTCGAAATATTAGAAGCCGTTATGTGGCTTAAACAAATTGACGCTGGTTACGTTATCTCTCACAAATACCTAAAACCGCTTACATAAGCGATAATTTAGCAAACATCAGCTTTCATTAAATTTAAATTGTTTTCAGATGATGAAAGTAACCACACACATTCACACGATTATATTGTACGTACATAAGTATGTAGGTAATAATAAATTGTATATACATTCGGTATTAACTAATACGTCATGGTTTTCTACCGTCTT